GCACTATGGCCTACTCTTATATTGAATTCCAACTGTCAAGGGATCTTTTACGTGCACGCCAATGTGTACATGGGACCTCGGTTTTTCGTCCCATCCGAACGACTAGACAGCTGGCATTGTCAGGCCATCCGTTCTGCATCAGGAACAATCTACCTTTTGATGTAAACGTGATGAAAATTGAACGATTAAACTGAAACACATTTGTATTTAGCACTGAAGAAACCATAATATTCAAATGATGCCATACTTACCTAATTTTGATGGATTGTTTTGTTTTTTGGTTTTTTTTTTGTTTTTATTTTTTTTTTGCATTCACTTAACCAGAAATTGCACTGATGAAACAAAATTAATGACAATGGCAGAAAACATGTCCCTATTATAGCATACTTACTACTCCATTGAGAAGCACTATACATTGTTTATTACATTGATTTTAAATGTTTTATCCATTGGTCAATTTAAAGAAATTTCGATTACAGAATAATTTATAACCGAAATAATGATCGATTCCCGAAAGGTCGCATTTTATTTTACCGACTATAAAGCAAACAGGGTTTTTTTTTTCCAAAACAATATTAATTCTATTTTTTTCACTTACCCGTCTGCCTGAAAAGCCTGATCGCCCGGATTATTCCTTCGTCACGCAACATACATCATTTGCATATTTAAGTTACCGGTATGATATGTAGGAAATGAAAATTGGATTTTACGTCCTACAGTCTGCACTGACTGGGCTAATGAAGACTGGGGTACGTCATACAGTGTGCTATGAGGGACATTTTGCTACAGCCTACTCTTATTTCGAATTCAGGTGCTTCATTTACGTGTACGCCAACGAGAACACATGACGTCGGTTATTCGTTACATTATTCCATCCTCCACCGCTGACATGGAGAAGTCACGCTGGAAAATCCCGAGGAACTTTCACGGCCAACACAGGGATCGAAGCATGGACCGCCTAGTCGTCTTACCCAATGAGCCACCGTGGCTCCCTGGATGTATGTAGAAAGTGACATAAATTACAAATATTAAATATATACTATTCAAAAAAAGTAGGGAATATTTGATTTTGGGGGCATAATACTAAAATATGCAAATGACTACGAAAAAAGTCACTATAGAACCTAACAGAAGAAACATTTCCAGTTACATGTGACGCCCAAACGCACCAATAGCTACCGCATGGAATGCAGGTGATGCTTGGGATCATCATGGGGGTCCAACCCAAGATTTGCACGACTCTGACTTTGAATGTTACAGTCATTGTGGCATTGAATTCCAGGGTGGAAACATCAGTTTAATTGTTTTAGTGACCAGAAAACAAATTTTGATATGCGTCGGCTTACCCAAAATGAAAGGTTACGTGCCCTTGGCATGCTACAGATCGGCACAACACAGGCGGTTGTGGCGCGGACGATGAATGTTTCTCAGTCTGTCATAAGCAGGCTATGGTCCAGATACCGTGATACACAATCTGTACAGGACAGACCACGCTCAGGTCGACCAAGGGCGACAACTCAAGCCCAGGATCGATTTATCCGTACCTTGGCCTTGAGAAATCGTGTCATCACAGCAAATCAGATCAGCGCTCGTCTTCAAACAGACACTGGTGTGAGAGTGAGTGGCCAGACGATTCGGAATCGACTGCATAGGGGTCACCTTCGCGCCCGACGTCCTCGCGTGATCCCTTGTTTGAGAGATCATCACATTCAGGCAAGACGTCGTTGGTGTAGGGATCGTCAACACTGGGATAATCGACGCTGGAGCAATGTGATGTTTTCAGATGAGTCAAGGTTCACTGTTGATTTTTTGGACAGACGTAGGAGGGTGTGGCGTCGTCGAAACGAGCGCTTCCAAGACGTTAACGTCATCAGACATGATCGATTTGGGGGTGGTTCTGTTATGGTGTGGGGAGGCATCACTATTGCGGGAAGAACGGCTTTACATGTTGTTGCAGGGCGTGTTACAGGCCAGTACTACCGGGACAACATCTTGGCAGTCCATGTTGTGCCGTTCGCACGACGTCATGGCCGCCGTTTCATCTTCCAGGATGACAACGCAAGATGTCACAGGGCCAGGATCGTTACAGGTTACCTCCAACAACAGAACATCACCACATTACCTTGGCCAGCACTGAGTCCCGACCTCTCCCCCATCGAGCATGTCTGGGACATGCTTGGACAGAGGTTACGTCAACGTCAACAACGTCCTGCCAATGTCCAAGAACTTGCTGCTGCGTTGCAACAGGAATGGGACAATCTGGACCAAAATGACCTTAGACGTCTCATTAGGAGTATGCCACGTCGGATCAATGCTTGTTTGGCAAACAGAGGAGGATTTACCCGTTACTGACTTGGTTGTGATGCTGTGGTAACTTTGCTGTTTGACCCCGGGTATCATTTTACCCTTATAATGGTCAGTCTGTGCCTTACTTAGTCTAACGATCATTTGGAATAAATCGATGAATGTGAACTTCATTTCATTTTGTCATTTGTTTCTTCGTCAGTTTCATTAGGTGACTTTAATAACACTTAAAAATCAAATATCCCCTACTTTTTTTGAATAGTATATTACATACGACTTGATCATTATCGGTATGAGGACTTTGTACACGGTACTTTATTTATCAGGGGGGTTGGGTGGCTTAGTGGTTAGCACGTGCACGCTGTATCATTAAGTCTGTCATTGAGTCAACTGGCGTGGTTTCGAATCCCCGGTTGTACGTGACAAGGAGTAGGGTCGCCTGTCCAACCTCGTGGGTTTTCTCCGGGTCCTCCGGTTTCCTCCCACTGCTAAAGACCCCTACGCGCAGGCGAATTATGGAAATAAAATTGAACCATATGTTAGTCCCGAAATGACCTAGTTTGTGTCGAGTGGACGTTAAACCCCATTTCTCTCTCTCTCTCTCTCTCTCTCTCACTTTATTTATCTCAGTATTAAAATATTGACAACGATAGCCTTTCTTGCTTCCACACCACCGGAGGAATATATCTACCATGTAGGGAATCAGAAGAAGGGGACAATATACAAAATGTAAATATGCAAGTCACATAATTTTAACATACCATGATTTATAAAAACAATTCTCATTTATTGCATTTAGTAATACTTTAGGGAAAGGTAATACCAAGTATGGTCATTTAGGATGACGATGACAAAGAGGGAGAGAAATGGGGTTTAACGTCCACTCGACACAAGCTAGGTAATTTCGGGACTAACACATGGTTCAATTTTATTTTAATAATTCGCTTGCGCGTAGGGGTCTTTAGCAGAGGACACCGGAGGATCCGGAGAAAACCCACGAGGTGGACAGGCGACCCTACTCATTGTCGCATACAACCGGGTAATCCAAACTACGCCACTTGACTCAATAGCAGACCTTATGATACAGCGCGCACGTGCTACCCATTCGGCCATCCAATCCCCCGGGTGACGATGATGATGAGAACGACGTTAAGTGGTATTTCAGGAATTGTTATAGTTGATTTTGGTAATAGTATATACTCTGGTAGTTGTATTAGGAAGTGCAGCTACGGGTTTTGTAATATTATGAAAATACATTTGGATTACCGTAGTGATAGTTTTGTTGTGAGCAGGAAGTGAGCCAAACTGGCAAAACATGGTCTTAAGTACAGCAGTTTCAAGTGCTAGTAGATATAGGGTGGTACACTATGTAGCAACAATATCTGGATGACTGTTGGTGTAATTTATATATAGCTGATTTTTGACAGGATGACAATAATGTTGAAATCATCAAAAATATCTGAATGGCTGTTGGTATAATTAGTCGACTTCTTAGCATTTGATTTTTGATGCTGTTCAAGAAAGATTCAATCTGTTTCGCAATAGAAATTGTTAATTCGGGCACGTGTTTGGTTTTGTAACTGATACCAACATGGATCCAGTATTAATTATCTGTAGCATTAAATTCGCCCCCCCCCCTACTTCCACTGTATAACAACTGTTAACATTCCGTCTTGCAGGGATTCCTCACTCGTACAAATCTGAGGAAGTACCGTTGATATATGGATATCCCACCCGCGTATAAGTACCTTGGATAGATGGATGTCCCGCCCGTACAGGTACTGTACCCGCTACTGGAATTACACTAGGGTTGTCACTAGTATAATGTTATTAAAGTAATACTTGTTACACTTGGTGATATCATTACATCAGGGTTGCTGCTATAACCACTAGTGTAATGCTATACATGTAATCTAGGGTTGCCACTAGATAAGTGCATTAGAGCCGTTTTGGCTCCAGTGAGTAAGGCACTACCTCGCTAATTTGCAGGTCCCATTGTTGGTTTAGAAATTTCCTCTGGTTTTCCGGCGTAGTTTCAGCTTGTCTTGGTGCATCTGGACGTGCACGTAAAAGACCCATTGACAGTTGGAATTCAATTCTGTCCGGGCAAAATTTCGTTTATAGTTCACTCCATGGCGTGTGCCCGTCTACATTATCCAGGTCTGAACATAATATTAATACAACGCAACAAGTAAAGGGGTGGAAATATATACACTATACACCAATAGGCCTAAATAGGCCCAATATTCATACGTCAAAAACAGAAATAAAATGAAATGGGATTAACGTCCTAATTTTCTGCTCCGACTGGGCTAATGAAGACGAGCATACGTCATACAGTGTGCTATGGAAAAAATTGGCCCAGACAGCGGCGCTACGGCCTACTCTTATATCGAATTCCATCTGCCGAGGGATCTTTTACGTGCACGTCACTGTGTACACGGGACCTTGGTTTTTCGTCCAATCTGCACCAATCCGCAACAGTGCTGCACCACTGACAACGAGGAACCACGCTGGAAGTTCCCGATGAACGTTCTCGACCAACTCCGGGATAAAACACGGGACATCGACGTTAGCGAGCCAACGTCTTACACACTGAGCCACCATGGCTCCCACGTCAAAATAAATATATATGTGAATAAATAAGACAAACAAAAGGAACAAATAATATTTATTCTTATAATGAATTGCATGGTGGTCGCAATAGCGAAGTGATTTCTCCAAATTAGTAACCAAAATAGCGATGACCACCATTCCATTTAGTCAATGATGACACCAGTGCCAGTGCTGTCTATAACGAAATATAGAAAATGAAAATTCTTAAGGCACAAGCAGCACATTTATTGAACTCAGATCGTCTGCTATCGGATGAAAAATAAAATTGTTTTATTTAACCCGTTTAGAGTGTTCTGGTTGGGGAAGAATCTTGTAAACAGCAAATTAACAAACAAACTCATCGGTTAAACCTTTATCCTTATATCCACTTCACACATACACAACGACTGATTGTGTCATGATAGAAACGTGGAGAGCATGATGGGGCACAACCTTAATACGCGAGTATGGAACATGCACCATACTCGCTAAGCGAAGTCGTGGTCGAACTGAAAGTGTGCCGATTTCGTAGTGAGAGTTGGTACAGACTTATGGTGGCCTGTTAATGAAATACGTTGATTTATACCCTTTTCTTGTAATTTACAGTTTAGTAACCACGTGTTCACAAACTGGTATTCATTTTGTACAATGTTTTCAAACGATTCGAACGACGAACTGATCCGAGAAAGTCAATTTGTAGAAAATATGGTTAAAAAAGAAAACGTAGATTCTGAAAAAGAATTATTCAAAGCTAGTCAAAGTGCAAAATTTTATTCAGAAAATATTTAACAAGGACCGTTACCAGTCCGGGGGGGGGGAGGCTGCAAATAGTTTCGCCCCCCTTGTGAAAAAATTGTCGACCATTAAAACAATAGATATACCTTGTCCGTCAATTTTACAGCACCCCTGAGACCCCATCCAGGGATGAAAATTTTGAAAATTTAACTACCGCAAATGCGTTTTTCTGCTTCTCTAGCCCGTGAGTTAAGCAACTCTAAATTTCTCTAATGCTTATGTATATCGAAATCCCACTCTATGCCGAGCTGAATTCCAAACACCTAATCACACTGTTGCTGCTGCATTCACAACTAATAATCGATGCCCGAAAAATGTCGCATAAAGTAGAGTGGCTCCAGACACTCGTGCACTTTATTCTACCAACTGGATGAATTTTTTTTTCTCTTTACTGCCCGAAAAGTCAGATTGCCCGAAGATTGAGGGGGTGGGGCAGCCAATTTTTGGGTGGCCGACGAACAGGGGTAACGACGTATTGCGCCCACACTGAAGTGTGTGCTTATTGAGATGACAATAAAACATCAATATCTTAACAATTGAGTAAACATCTTTAAAGCAGTAATCTTACCTTGGCAAAACCTTCCGGTATAAGTTGATGGACATTTGCAGGTAAAGTCACCGGGTGCTGGTTTACAAATACCACCATTTAAACAAGGCGAGAGATCACAGAGATGAACTGTAATAAATTTAACATGATTAGTTATGGATCGCAGATATTGACTGTAGTAAAAATAATATGATTAGTTATGGATCATAGTGGTTGACTGTAATAAAAGTAGCATGATTAGTTATGGTACACAGATAACGATTGCATGAGCTGTAACTAATAACGGGTAGCAACACCCTTGATGTTACTTACAGCTGCATACTCTTCCAACAAATCCATCAGCACATGCACAGGCAAAGTTACCAGGAGAAGGCATACACGTGGCACCATTCATACACAGATTACAAAGGTTGACTGTAATAAAATAAGATATAATTGATCATTGAGTTGTAACCAAGATGAAGAGAACTCGACGTATATTTATTATAAAAAGAGTTAATGAGAGAGAGGGGGGGGAGAGGGAGAGAGGGGGGGGGGTTAATGTAGAGGTCTTTAAGCTGTTGGAGGAAATCAGGGGTTGGACATGCGATCCCACTCCTTGTCACATACAAACGGAGAATCGACCCCAGTACGCCACTTGATTCAATGACAGCCAGTCGACCACAACCCCGGTAATTAAAAATATGTCTAGTAGAAAATAAAAAAAAGGTTCCTTTAGTAAACTCGTTAAATTGACGAGACCACCATCGCGAAAACTTCCTAAGTGTACGAGTATCCGGTCGGATCAAATTGTCTATCGTTACTGCAGGCCACCAGAAAAGGGGATTGGTCAGAGAGTGTGCTTGTAAAAATACATAATATGATTAGCCATGGTAAATAGATTACTGACAATCAGTACAACGAATGCACGGAAAATAACAGATATCAGAAACTGAGAATGGCGACGGTTTTTTTTTCTGGAATACCTGTTATCACTTCTTATTTGACGAGTTCAAATCGGTTTACCTCTACCCACAATCTTCGGCTTCTAAAATACTAGTCTAAAGTAATGCCCCACTTTGATGACTTGTGACGTGTAAATATATTTTGGGAGACATGATCCATTGATACCACTTCGGGAAAATTATTTGCATAAAATATTATCATAAAATACTTCTGTTTTAAATACTAGTCTAAATTAATGCCCCACTTAGATGACTTGTGACGTGTGAATATATTCTGTGAGACATGATCCATTGATACCACTTCGTGAAAATTATTTGCATAAAAAATTATTATAAAATACTTCTGTTTTAAGACATACACGTACAAGAACCCATGACAGTAAGAGTAGGCCGTAGTGCCGCTGTACAGGTAAGATCTCACTCATAGTATACTGTATAGCGTTATCCTGGCTTCATGAGCACAGCGAGTACAGAAAAGCAGGACTTGTAAAATCATATATTAATTCTAAAAATCGTTTAGTCAGCTTACAGTAAGTATGAAACCATGTCTCAAGTTCCAAGCTCTATTACCGAATTTTGTAATGCACTCAAGAATGAGTGACAGATTGGTATATAAAAAAGAGTTATAATTTGGTAAACATTAGCTGGTTCCGTAGGAATGAAAATATCATGTTTAACACGTGATCGAAAAATTACAATTGCATCATTTGGCTTAATTAACCAATCTCTATAATTATTTACATCATATTAGACCAATTAGATCATTGAAGGTCCAGAACCCAAAGCTACAGAACTATCATATATATGAGCATTGGTCAGACAGCAGCTTGATTCTGGGAGGAAAAAGATGTAGCCATTTCTATCAGCAAACTCGCCCCAGTGAGTCTGGCTGGATAGGGTTTGAGAGGATGATTTTATTTTGCAATCTATTGTAAAGTATGCTTATCCAGTTATGATAAAATGTAAAATCGAACTGTTGCATTGTTATTCCCGGTAACGACAAGTGAAATACTAGACGATCACAAGGCTACTAATATATGCAGTAAGAAAAGATGCATGGTCATACGAAGGATGTGGCGACTTGTTTGGGAAATCCGCTTTCTACGTCTGACAGAAAGACCCATGGTGCTACAATGGTAATAAAATATGTTTAACCAAATAAAAAAATCGAACAAATCAGGGCCTTTGTAACGTCAATTGATATAGACCTATATTTACATATGTTTCCTGGGGGATAATAACCTATTTTATAAATATGGTTGATATGATATCAAGCACGAACATAAACCCAATCACAAGATACTACTTCGTGTCAGCATGGAGTTTAAGATAACTGTTACTTGTCTACGTCTTGACATCATGAATTTCAATTTTGAGTTTGGCGAGATCAAAATTACTCTGTGCAGGTTTAAAGGGAATTCATACTTGAGTGTTTTTAGAAGAATTTAAGTGAAAACATAATCCATATTTTCTGACTATGTACCTTCCGATACCCCCCATTGTCATGACAATAATAACAAGGATTAAATATAAACAGAAAAAATCACTGTAATAATCTAAAAGCTGCCTCGAAATCTGTCATGGACGAAAATAAAAAGCATTTTGTTGTCTTTGTAACATTGATGTATCATTGAAGTACATTACCTTCACAAGTTATTCCAACAAATCCATCTTGACAATCACATGAGAAACCCCCTTCTATCCGCCTACAAGCCATGTCATCTGCACATGGATTAGGATTGCAGAAATCGACTTAAAATGAAATATGAAGAAAACATCAGATCATACATGCTCCAGGAAGCCGGCATATTTAAATACAAGCGGGATCATAGTTTTGAAACGTACTGAAAGGTGGGGTTACAGATCTATAGAATTATAAGATATACAACGTAAAACAAGGAAATACACCAACACAACAGCTTTGTCTCAAAAATTGACAGTGATCGACAGCAGCTTATCTCAAAGGAAAACGTGCGGGTTGACCCAATTTCTGTCTTCAAGAATTATGATCCCTATCGTGCTTGTTAAAGCCGGTGTGGGGGGGGGGGGCAACTTAGGAGCTAAGGTAGCAGAAAACTGAATATTGATAGGATTCGTCTTCTCGTGACCCAAAATGCTTCACACACAAATTTTAAGTTCGTGGAATGCTGAACATCGATAGGACTCGTTCGCTCATGATTTAAATAATTCTCACCAAATTTGAAATCAATCTGTTAAAAACTGTATCATTCTCTCATGGTTCCAATATGTAAAGCAATCCACTAAAAACATATCCGCTATCGATTTTACATTGTTTTCGGAAAAGGGGACATAACCCTGTTATTGTGGTTCATCATGGCATGATCACACTGCTTCACGCCAAATTTAGAAAAAAAAAACTGTTGGTTCTATCGCGTCCACACGCCAATTGTTGACGGATCGACGACGTGACGGCATAATACGTTCACACTGAAATATGGGCGTATAAATATGCAGACATATTATCATGTTAAAGATACATTATGGGAGATAAGATAAAAAGAGCTGGCAGTTCTCACTATAATAGTTAAAAACTAGATAATGTAAAGACAATTTGCTGAAAATTTCAGTCAAATTGATCCACTAGAACCGAGAATTAAGCGATTGAAATTTCGACCTAGCCTCGATCATCATTACTAAAGTCTGTACGATAAAAAACATAATCTCGATCATCCATTTTATGATAAAATTATGAATGGAAGTCGAGCAGCAAATGGGATCATGATCCAGTAAATATCGCAGGCTAGCGATGCCATCGAGAGTTGATTAAGGTCTGGATATGTTAATTAATGTCTAATTAATAATTAAGATAAAATTTCAGGCCTGAAGAAAGACCTGCAATTGGCAGATTTAGCTCTTGCATAATGTATGTTTAAGTGACTCTTTATAGATTATTAGTTTTATTGTACTAAAATCGGCTGTACGTTGCAGTCTCATTCATGTTCAGACAACGGAAGTCGGCCATCTTGTATGGAATGCACGGAGTTTCAGTCCCATTAATGTTCAGAGAAATGTTGTTCTGTGTCTGCGATCGGCTATAAAAGATGATTTAATATAGGATAAAACTTACCATCGCACAATTTACCAACAAATCCATCCGGGCAATTACATCTGAAACCTCCTCCTCGCTGAGACACACACTCGCCAGCATAGCATGGGTTGGGATAACATGGATCAACTACAATAGAAGCGTGGAATATTTTAGTAATCATTACATTAGATTGGCTCGACATCATAATTCAACTAAAATATAAGCGCGAAATTACATGGGTGGAGATCCTCATAAAATAAAATATATAGGTGAACTATTGTAGTAGTCATGGTAATACAGGTAAAATATTGTAGTAGTTATGGCATGGTTTGGGGTCGTAATCAACTAAAGTAAAGGTGGAACGTCCAATGCATCATATTATGGACAGGTAGATTTTATTCAGATTATTTATATATGAAGGAGTAATGAAAAAAAGGGGTAAAATCACAAAGTTTCTTGTATATCAAGCTCCGGTAGCAAATTTTTGAGCAATGGCAAAAACTTTGGCATGCCAAATAATTGCCGAAAGACCTTGCGACGGTTCATTTTCGTTACCTTATTTGGTCTACCAGCCATAAGTCAATAAACATACAGAATCTGATGGTTATTTTTACAATGTTAGGATTTTACCAAAATATCACTGTTTTTTATATATAAATGTATCATTCACGTTCATTAAGTACGTGTGATTTGGCTCTATAGAGAGAGTGAAGCAACACATTTTTCAAAGACCCAATATTGTCTTAAGGACCAATGTCATACACCAGGATTATGGCTCCTGATTGTACGTAAAATCGCTTTTTAGTTGGTTCTCTGTCCATCGCTTGCAAAATGTGGGCCTATCTTGCATGGCAACCGCGTGTTCTCCATACGCAAACAATACGATAAAAATACGAAGTAAACAAGAATCTGCTCGATTGTCTTAGGAAGGCAACATGAAGCCCTCGCAAGGCCCTCACAGTGGCCTTATGAAGGGCGAAATGGGCACACGAATTCAACGAGAAAATGAACCATCACATCGTTGGGTTGGAGCAAGAATGTCGTAAGTGACAAAATGTGCGATTTCCATGTTACGATATATTATTGATAGTTGATGACCAACTTTTCAGATGAGCATGTTTTTGCTCGTTATGTTGTCATGGAAACCTGAAATCTTGTCTGTGCGAAATTGTCGTAAGTGAAAAGTTGACCAAATTCTTGAAGCAAAAATGTCGTAAGTGACATTTTTTATTACCAGATTGTTATAAGCTGAATTTGATTTCATGATAGAACATCAATGTCACATAGGCTATGAGGTCATCAACAGTATGATGCCATAATAATTATAATAGTTATATTAATTCTTAATATTAAAATGTATTTGGTCGAGTTTATTTATCTTTTATTTATTAATACTGGGTCAATGTGAGTTTTTGGTTACTTCCTGCACTTACGACAATTTTGCACCCAATATCTAGCCCGAAATTTGTTAATAGATTTTATCTTGTTCATATTTCCCCAAAATATGATATTATAACAGTTATATTAATTCTTAATAATAAAATATATTTGGTCGATTCTATTTATCTTTTATTTATTGGGTCAATGTGCGTTTTTGGTTACTTCCTGCACTTACGACAATTTTGCACCAAACATCTAGGCTGGAATTTGTTAATAGATTTTATCTTGTTCATATTTCCCCAAATATGATATTATAATAGTTATATTAATTCTTAATAATAAAATATATTTGGGCGAGTCTATTTATCTTTTATTTATTGAGTCCAGTGTGAGTTTTTGGTTACTTCCTGCACTTACAACAATTTTGCACCAAACATCTAGACCGAAATTTGTTGGAGCAAAAATGTCGTAAGTGAATTTTGGCTATGAGCCCAAAATTTATACCAGGCCCTGACAACACTCAATCACTCGAAATGTATTATAAATCAGAGATATGAATCTCATTAGTAAATAAATAATGACACGGAATCGTCATTTTTATTTAAATCTTTAAATGCAATTTTCTCCATTTTTTGAAAATGTCACTTACGACATTCTTGCTCCAAGCAATTTTCTGCCGGGGCCTGAGAAACTTCACAGGCGGTCACACGATGGCTTAAGATGCTCTCACGAATAATGGCCTGATGGTTTTACAATCAGAGCCGAATTTACTTTATCGTGTGATCATCTGGTGTCAATTTCGGGAGATTGTGACGCCCTATAAAGCATTTTCCTTAGTCGGTCCTGAGCAACTCTACAGAGCCATCGTGTGACCTTCATGTGTCTTCGTATTGTCTTCGTGTGTGGTTCAGGGGCCATCGTGTGACCTTCTATAGGCATCGCACTTGCGTCGGCTGTTGATTGGCCAAATTTGGGGCTATCTTCGAGCATTAATTCAATTTCCTCTACAAATATGTAATATATTATGACCAACAGAGCTGGGGGGTTTAACGTCCACTCGACACAAACTGCTTCATTTCGGAATAACACGGTACATTTTTTTTTCAGCAATTCGCTTTCGCGCAGGGCCCATTATCCATTCGCAACCGGATGGGTGACCCGGAGAAAACCGACGAGGTTGGGTAGTTGACCCCCTCACCCCACGCCTAAATGATGTGAATTCTGACTAAACAAAGTCCATATGGATGTGGATGCCCACGGAGATTTGTAAATTGTCACAATGAGTCCGCGAGCTGACAGAGGTTGGGAGACAATATGGCATAATTTGATCTAATGTATATACTCACCTCGTCCACATGTTTCGATATTGCGCTGTAACTGTAAGCTTGCTGCCTTTGTAAGGGAATACAACTCATTGACGATTCGAGAGGTACGGCTGGTGAATCTTTTAGATGAAACAGGTCTATATCCTTCCACGAATACTGTAGATACTGACAGCATTACAATAAGGTTTTTCAATAGAGTCATCTTGTTTTCTCGTGCTTCAATAAGAATGTATAAATGTTTCTAAATCTAAGTCTTATATACCATTGTGTTCTCATATGATATTGATCTCAAACCAATCACGTATTTGCACAAGTAGCTGACGGAGGTTTAATCTTAAAATATCCTAAAATATAGCAATTTATACAATATTAACATCACCATGGTTATAATTTATTGATGTATGAAAATATGTATGATGGGTGCGTATATGGAGGTGACGTATATATTGCATATATTATGTGAAGATTTAGGTGTCTTGTGATGATGTTGTGTGTGTGGGCGGTGCCTGTTTAGTATGGGGGCGGGGTGATGGTGTGCGCTTGGTGGGTATGTAAGTATGCAACGTGTAACATAAATTTATAATTAAAATGAACTCTTCTAAAAACCAAATTAATATTGTAAACGTCTGTTTTCTATTTTAAGTAATATAATAATAGTCTTTATTCAGATCTTACAATGAGACATATGAATATAATTTACAAAATAGTTCATACAGTCAATGATAGATTTTGGACAATATGCTACATTCATAATATATGTATTTTTATATATAATTAGTTATCTACATTAGACAGTTCATTTAAACTTAAAATAATCGATATCAATTTACATAGGTTTTCTAAATCGACATCATGACAATTTAAAACTTCCTACATCTTTACATAGGAAGAATATGTGTAATAATATGGTTTTAAATATTTTATTCGGCCACTCTGGAGAAATGGACACTTAAAAACTGCATGAAATTCATCGCCTATTTCGTTATCAGAGCAAAGGACGCAGAGTCGTTTTTCCCAGGGGATTTTTAAAAACACTCCAAACACGATTGGTAGTCTATGATTTCGACATCTAAATCTAGCAAAATAGCGTCTATAGTTTACAGGTAAAGCAGTTAGATATTTTTCATGCTTGTGGGTAGATTTAGACAGACAGTAATTAGCCCATTTATTCGAGGTTTTAACAGTACTATCGCAATCCTCCAAATATTGGTCTCTTAACCTTAATAACAAACACTCTTTTAACCATTTATCGTCAATATTGTTGGCATGGATATTCCAAATAATAGACAAAACAGTAGAATTTAAAGTCTCTTGCTGGGATTATCGGATCTTTTACAATATATCATACATTAAATATGCAAATTTTAACTTTGATCCAGAAACTAGAAACTAACTATTCTACACTTTATAAGTACCTGCAGTGGATAAATACCCAGTTCGCTATAGATCATTACATTAGGGGTGATGCTTTTTATTTGTAGTGAGATTTTGCAAAATCGAAGTTCAACAGAATAATGTCAGTACAACCCCAGACTTCACACCCATATAAAATCATTGGGACATTTGGCAATTAAAAAGATGGATCTGTGTGTCAATAGAAGGGAAAACATTGCTGAAGATGCTTTATTATAAAGTTTATACTTTGCTTTCACAAATGAACCATTGTAATTAAACATGATGCCCAAATATGCATATTCGTCAACAATGTCTAGCTCTATATCTCCATACTTAATAGTGGGTTTGTTTCTAATTTTAACTCTAGAAAATACCATTATCTTAGTTTTCTGTGTATTTATTCCTAGCTTCCGGAGAGTGCAATTTTCATACATGACATTTATCTACAACTGTTTGATGGATGTTTAACTCTTTATAGTGCAAGAAGACTGAGAACACGGGGGGGGGGGGGTGAGGTTTTGACCCTGTGTGGCACTATGCGTCGCTATGCACACAGTTCGGCAACCAAATCAAATATGTCATACGATGCAGTTCTATGAGTCGCTCGCTAGATGTGGAAAGCCCAACTGTTAAAAACTCCCCACATCCAACGTATTGTCTCTGGTTGCATTTGTAATTCATTAACTGGTTATAGGACGTATCGTTAAATGTTTCTTTAACATCTCACGTTGTGTAATTATTTTTATCAGTCTTAAAATATCGTACTATTAACAAACAAGATGACAGGAACAAAATCGCGCACGACTTGAATGTTTTTATATTACTTAACTTATCCTATCTATTATTTAATTGGGGTCTTCCCATATAGCCGACTCACCGAGTTTTGGAAAGTCGACCGCGGCACCCTTTGATTGGATTAAAACGGATTAAAAGCGTTAATGAGGCAGGGACCAGTCATTATTAATATAGTTCACTGAAATTGATTTTTACCACAGACCTTTATTGACTTTTTTGCCGAAACAATTATTAAAATTCGTGAAAAGTTTGTTGACCCCCCCTTACACTGATATTAATGTCCCACCCAAGTGTAATTTCTCTGCTTTTGAGCCATTGAATGTTAATGATGTAATATCAGTGGTGCGTCGAATGAAGTGTAAGTCATGTGCTCTGGACCCAATTCCTACAAAACTACTAAAAGAGTGTCTGGATGAAATAGCACCAGCTTTGACGATTATTATAAATGATGTGCTCTCCTCTGGTATTTTTCCGGATGATTGTAAGGAGGCCATTGTAAGACCTCTGATTAAAACAACAAGTCTTGACCGTAATGCACTCAAAAGTTATAGACCAGTGTCAAATATTTCATTTTTAGCAAAATTGCTTGAAAAGATCATTTTATCTCAAATAATAGATTATCTCACTCGAAACTCACTCCTCGGTAAATTCCAGTCTGCTTATCGAGAGGGGCATAGCACTGAAACCGCACTCCTTAGAGTGCATATCGAGGTTATAGATATGAACAAGGAAGACTGAATTTATTAGAATTTTTGGACTATGTTGTGCTGCGTGCAAAAATTTCAAATTGTGTTATGTTATGTATTATAAATTAAAAAAAAAAAATAAATGCTCCCAAAATTATCTGCTTAATGGGGTTTATCTTTCAGCTTGGGTCTATTGTTCTTGGCCACTCATTCCCATAACGTCGACAAAATTTTCCCGCTAAAATTACCAACATTAAATCTGACGCCAGTATGTCCTTCAAATTTTCATAATTATTCAATTGAATGTCACGCCACTTGGTTGAATGACAGATCTTCTGATCCAACGTGCACGCGTTAACCATTCGGCCACCCAACCCCCCTCTATTATATAAAGACAAGTTTGATATTTTACGTGACTGTTAACACAATCTATTAAGAATTAAAAGACGAAAAACGTTCTGGACAACACAAGCTATTATTTTATGTGACAGTTAACACAGTCTGTTAAGGATTAGAAGACGAAAACCCTTCTGGACACAGACCCGCTTGTACGTAGGGGTCTATAGCAGTGGGAGGAAATCGAAGGACCCCGCTTCTTGTCGCTAAAGACAACACGGGAATTATTCGGTAATTGAATAAGAACGCGTCTTAAATAATGTATTTGCTTGCTGAACCTCACGAAGCAAAAACTGTATTATTTATACAATTTAACTAATAACAGTTAAATAAATTAACAAATTAATGAATTAATAATAATTTAATGCTACAACTGCTTTTTATGCAATGATTTTTTTTGTCCTGTCTCTATTAGCCTCAGTGGCGAAGAAACGTAAGCCACTAAACCCCATTTCATTTTCAAACAGTAAGGTCGGTTAAGAAGAAAAGCCCTTTAGCGTCAGTGACATATCATTCCTTAAGGTGATAATAATATAGACTGAAAATAGTGTAATCGTTAACCAAAGGGCATAAGTTATTCAAGAAAACATTAATCGAATATCTGTAAATTGTTTAACGAGATTAACGAGTAATAAAGCCACAATATTGATTCATCTTTTATCCTCGATAAAAGCATTATTTGCAACATAGGCAGATAAACATGTTTTCTGTGTCCAGTATTTAATTGTTCTGTCTTTTCTCTTCATGTCTAGAGTATAATCTTTCAAGCACCAGTCCATGGCGAAAACGATGCATGTCTACGAAAAATGAACTCTTTAGTTCATTAGGTCTGACATTGAGTCACGTTGTGTTGTCTCGATTTCCAGCTTGTCCGTGACAAGAAGAGAGGTCACCTCTTGAACCTTGTGTGTTTTCTCAGAGACTTTTGATTTCCTCCCATTGTTAGAGAACCAGCCATACACGCAAGCAAATTATTAAAGAACAAAAAATGAACCACATGTTAGTCCCGAGTCGCGTAGACTGTTTGATAGAGACTTTTATCTTAGTAAATTGTTTCATCCTGTCTTGTACCAGTTGGGAAACAAATCACAGACAACAAATTCCACTACCTGTCAATTCTTCTGGAATCCCACGTTCTGCTAGTAAGGTGGGTGTATCAAAATAGAGAGGTCTTAAAGATAAATAGCCCCCACTGCGTTTAGAGTTCACGCGGACTTATATAAATCCGCGGGGGCCAATTGCAGGGTGCCCCACCATAAATAAATATCTCCAAATACGTATCTCGACAATTCACCACAATATTTATATATATCATACCATGCCTTAAATCAATGACCATTTAACCATCAATACATAATAGACTGAAAAATGATCCCGAGTGTCGGCCATAACATCCGAGCACTTTTGAGTAAAAAATAGATTACGTGCCCTCGTTTTCAAATTAGTCTCGCTTAACCAGTCTACCGACCATTCTCCGTTTGATTGACAGGTCGGGATAATCAAGACTACGTTTTTTTACGAAACATAACAGAAAGCTGGAACAAGAAATTACGTGCCCTCGTTTTCAAATTAGTCTCGCTTAACCAGTCTACCGACCATTCTCCGTTTGATTGACAGGTCGGGATAATCAAGACTACGTTTTTTTACGAAACATAACAGAAAGCTGGAACAAGAAATTGAATTTAGAAACACGCACGTAAGGCAACTCAACAATTGTTTTAAGGGCCTTGTAAAAGTAAAATGCGTGTTTCTGCGATATTATTTGTACTAAACCAAAACGGTATTGTTAATGATAAAACAATTTAAAAATCAAAACGAATGTAATTTCTAAAACTGCTGTAATAATCAAAAAGC